TACAGCCAACTCTTTAATACCCAAATATTGGAAATCTACAAATATCCCATCCCCAAGTCTTAAATTTGGCAATCGCAAATAAAATACGTGAATTTGTTTATAGACAAAAAAACCTATAAAAAATATTAATTTGCATCATGAGTTGGCAATGTGGGAAGAGGACATAGTAAAAAAAGTACAGTCTGGGGTGATGCCCCCTAGTTGACCAACATTAATTTACAATATGTTTTTTGTCTGTCTGTCTGGCGGGCACGTGAGGGAGCACTCTCCCTTGACGTCATATTCCGGCTCCAGCATCAGTAAGCGGCGCGCGAGGGAGCTGGGCAGAGAGTGATCAGGGGAGAGTGCTCCCTCGCGCACCTGCTAGCTAGCCAGCCAGCCAGCCAGCCCGCCCAGTGACTGGCCACCCAGTAGCACCACCGGACCCCAGGGAATCCCCACTGCTCTCCCAAAGGTAAGGAGGCTGGGGGATTAAATTTTTTTTTTTTAAACATGTGTATGTGTGTTAGTGTGTGTGTGTGTGTGTTTGTGTGTGTGTGTATGTGTCAGTGTGTCTGCTAGTGAGTGTCAGTGAGTGTGTTAGTTTGTGTGTCTGTTATTGAGTGTGTGTCTGCTAGTGAGTGTCAGTGAGTGTGTTACTGTGTGTCTGTTACTGAGTGTGTTTGTGTGTGTCTGGTCGTGAGTCTGTTTGATGTCTGTTAGTGAGTGTGTGTTTGTCAGTGAGAGTGTATGTTTTGTGAGTGTGTATGTGTCTCTGTCTGTCAGTGAGTATGGATGTATGTAGCTGAGTGTGTCTTTGTCAGTAAATGCGTGTGTCTGTTAGCTAGTGTGTATGCGTCTGTTCGTGAGAGTGTGTGTGTCTTCAGCGCCAGAATCCCTTGGCATTAGGGATCCCTCCGCCTCTCAGCTCTGAATGGACGTTCAGTGTCTTCTCACTGTGATTTTCACAGTGAGAATCGCGGAAGCTCCTCTAGTGGCTGTCAATGAGATAGCCACTAGAGGCTGGTTTAACCCTCAGTGCAGGGTTAAAACTAGAGAGACCTGGCACCCAGACCACTTCATTGAGCTGATGTGATCTGGGTGTCTGTAGTGGTCCTTTAAGTGTGTGTGCATCTGCATGCACTGTCGTACATACCGCGGTCGCAGAGTTCGCAGCCCTGCGACCCCTGCGACCCCTGCGACCAGGTGCCCGCCACCATGTGTTACGGCCCCGGCCCGCGCAGAGTAAGCACAGGGGGGGGCTCATGGATCACTTTTTGCACCGGGGCCCCATGGGTCGTGTGTACGCCACTGCCTAGAGGCAATAAAATGTGCCACCTGTTACCTTATATTGGGTTACTATGAAAAGTAAAGCAGTAAGCAGTAAAGAAAACAAGCTAGAGTAGGCATAATCTGAGTGACTGGCACCCCTGAGATATTACAATACTGGTGTGAATTACACTAAAAGAAAACCCACTACAACCTGACTCTCAATCACATGGCTACACTGCATTGTTGGAAGCAATAGTCAGAAATGCAAACAGGAGTGAAATTTTTCTGGTCTTCGGAGTGTGAGGGCCAAAAGTTGCTGATAAACATGAAGTGGTGTCGGTAGGGTTGTAAAGAGCTCTCACCCAGAGCCGGCCATGTGTCTCAGGAGGGAAGACCAGTGTCAGCCGACCCCCTTACTCGGGAGTGTTTGACGGTCGTTGGGGAGTGCCACCAGGAGGCAGGTATTGTGTGTGTGTCCCGAAGGAGGTCTCGTGCGCTTGTGTCCCCATGGGTCTTCAGTGCGGTATGCGCCATTTTGTGGGGGAGGCGAGCGAGTGAGAGTCTCCATGCTCTACACGCTGATTAGGTCCCGACTGGTTGCGGGTTTTGATCCCAGTATCTTGGGCCCTGGATGTTGTGATGGTCCTTGTTTCCTTAGCATTTGCGGTGCAGGATGGGAGGTTCTCCGCTTAATCCGCTTTCTCTGGCTTCTGGAGGGCGGGATGGGCTGGTGCGTGCGCTTTTGTGGAGTTGGTGCCTCCAAGGTCTGTGAGTGTTTCAGCTGAGTATGCTGTTGCCTCGCTTTGAGTTTCGCCCAGAATTTGGCAAATATGCTGTCCAGTTTGCTCATGGTTGTAACAAGGTAGGCCTCGGCTGGACCTCCAGCATTTTGTGGGCTATGTTGTATCTCCGCGTGCTGCAGCTCCTAGGGCTGTGTGGGAGTGGTCTATGTGCTTCTGGAACCGGGATGACCCCCCGTTCCAAATCGGGGGAGGTGCAGCTATAGGCTACAAGAACAAGTGTTTGGAGGGCGGCCGTCCCTCCAGCGCCGGTCAGGCAGCTGGGCCGCAATAAGTTGAGGGCAGGCATTCTGGGTTTGGGACGGTGCCAAGGCTGGTACTATTCAAGTCCTCAGGGTCTCCCCTATGCAGTCAGTCTGGTTTTGCAGTGATTCGGGTGAGTTGGCATGCAGAAAAGGGCTTAATATGCTGGCTTTTAGTCAGAAGCTTGTCCTGCATGCGTGAGCTCAGCTTGCTAGTCAGGCCCGCCCCCCTCCACATGTACCTTTTAAACGTTTGCTTTTAAAAAAATTTTTCTCTATTATTTGCTATAAAAACTAAAGAAAAAAGTTAACTGCGCACTACCCTAAATCCCAATGCACTTTTCAATAACTGGTATCACTCCAATGGTCATTCAGAACTAAGCATGGGTATTTATGATGCATGAGTGAGTCATGAGAGTTAATGAAATTACACATACCCTTCAGTATAGTAAAAAATGTACTCACATATGGACAGCTTTTTAGTGGACCTATTGGCTATGATTAAGGACATTAAGAAACAAATTGACACTATCCAATTGGCATGCACAAGTTTGAAGTTGAGACGTTTGAAACAACTTTTCTATTCTAAAGGGAATAAAGCCTCAACAGTACTCGCCTCTAAATTAAGATATAAAATGGCTGAATCAAGGATTGAATATATTATTAATGACAAAGAGGAGAAAATGACACATCCTACCAAAATTAGTAACCTATTTACTGAGTACTATAAATCCTTGTATAATCTTTATTCAGACTCACAAACTGCCCTACCTAATTCGGACATAATTAGATCTTTCCTAGACAAAGTCTGATTACCTCAAATTTCTCCTGACAGATTGGATATTTTAAACTTGGCTATATCTCAAGAGAAAGTGCATGAGGCAATTAAAAATGCTTAGACTGGGAAGGCCCTGGGACCGGATGGCTTCACCATGTATTATTATAAGACTTATTCGAGTATTTTAGCTCCACACTTAACTAGATTGTTTCATTTGTATACAATATCGGGTAGTATGCCCGGTGAAACAATATGTGCTCAAATTGTGACTCTTCCTAAGCCGGGTAAGGATCCAAATAATTGTGCAAATTTCAGGCCTATTTCATTGTTAAAGGGACACTCCAGGCACCCAGACCACTTCTGCCCATTGGAGTGGTCTGTGTGCCAACTCCCACTACCCTTAACCCTACAAGTGTAATTATTGCAGTTTTCCGTGACTCTAGCACAGATTTTCTATGCTATGCGAGGACCTCCAGCGTCGCTCAATTCCCCATAGGAAAGCATAGAAAAGCATTTTCAATGCTTTCCTATGGGGAGCTCTAATGCGCATGCGCGGCATAATTATATATACCTCAGTTGTTTGCATTCATCTACTCTTTACCCCTTCATAGTTTTGCAGCCCAATTTTAACTGTTTGGTATTTATGTGAGTCCCTAAACATGTATTTTAATTTTATGTTCCTTTCAATAAATTATTTGTTATGGTTTCATTAGATGGACTTATCATTTTCTGACATGCCCACTTGGGCTTATTAGACAGCAAAAATAGAAAAAAAATTGAGTCATGCACAACTGGTACCAAAGTGCACACCCTGGCGCTACCACATTTCATTAGAAGGACAATGTTCAGAACGCAAATGTTTTGGGCAGTTGCCCTTTATCAATGCTAATGTCCTTGATTACAGCAAGCAACACATCCAATATATATATACAAAAAAAGTTATTAATACATTACTTTGCAAAGTATATACACTGCTCAAAAAAATAAAGGGAACACAAAAATAACACATCCTAGATCTGAATGAATTAAATATTCTTCTGAAATACTTTGTTCTTTACATAGTTGAATGTGCTGACAACACAAAATATCACACAAAAATTAAAAAATGGAAATCAAATTTTTCAACCCATGGAGGTCTGGATTTGGAGTCACACTCAAAATTAAAGTGGAAAAACACACTACAGGCTGATCCAACTTTGATGTAATGTCAAAATGAGGCTCAGTAGTGAGTGTGGCCTCCACGTGCCTGTATGACCTCCCTACAACGCCTGTGCATACTCCTGATGAGGTGGCGGATGGTCTCCTGTGGGATCTCCTCCCAGACCTGGACTAAAGCATTTGCCAACTCCTGGACAGTCTGTGGTGAAATGTGACATTGATGGATGGAGCGAGACATGATGTCCCAGATGTGCTCAACTGGATTCAGGTCTGGGGAACGGGCGGGCCAGTCCATACCATCAATGCCTTCGTCTTGCAACTGCTGACACACTCCAGCCACATGAGGACTAGCATTGTCTTGCATTAGGAGGAACCCAGGGCCAACCACACCAGCATATGGTCTCACAAGGGGTCTGGATATCATCTCGGTACCTAATGGCAGTCAGGCTACCTCTGGCAAGCACATGGAGGGCTGTGCGGCCCCCCAAAGAAAAGCCACCCCACACCATTACTGACCCACTGCCAAACCGGTCATGCTGGAGGATGTTGCAGGCAGCAGAACGTTCTCCATGGCGTCTGTCACATGTGCTCAGTGTGAACCTGCTTTCATCTGTGAAGAGCACAGGGCTCCAGTGGCGAATTTGCCAATCTCAAAATGTCAAACGTCCTGCACAGTGTTGGGCTGTAAGCACAACCCCCACCTGTGAACCTCGGGCCCTCATACCACCCTCATGGAGTCTGTTTCTGACCGTTTGAGCAGACACATTCACATTTGTGGCCTGCTGGAGGTCATTTTGCAGGGCTCTGGCAGTGCTCCTCCTGTTCCTCCTTGTACAAAGGCGGAGGTAGCGGTCCTGCTGCTGGGTTGTTGCCCTCTTACGGCCTCCTCCACGTCTCCTGATGTACTGGCCTGTCTCCTGGTAGCGCCTCCATGCTCTGGACACTACGCTGACAGACACAGCAAACCTTCTTGCCACAGCTTGCATTGATGTGCCATCCTGGATGAGCTGAACTACCTGAGCCACTTGTGTGGGTTGTAGACGCCGTCTCATGCTACCACTAGAGTGAAAGCACCGCCAGCATTCAAAAGTGACCAAAACATCAGCCAGGTGGCATAGGAACTGAGAAGTGGTCTGTGGTCAGCACCTGCAGTACCACTCCTTTATTGGGGGTGTCTTGCTAATTGCCTATAATTTCCACCTGCTGTCTATCCCATTTGCACAACAGCATGTGAAATTGATTGTCACTCAGTGTTGCTTCCTAAGTGGACAGTTTGATTTCACAGAAGCGTGATTGACTTGGAGTTACATTGTGTTGTTTAAGTGTTCCCTTTATTTTTTTGAGCAGTGTATTACTTAAAGGGAGAAAAAGAGAAAAAGATGTGGGGGTGGGAGGGCCACTGCTAACACAGAATACCAAAACCTTATAAAATATAAGTCTAAAAATATACAAACTAATGAAAAATAGACAAAAAAAGAAAAAGAAAAAAAAGAAACACTCTCACTTGATGTAAGGGTATACAGCATGCCTATGATGATGGAAACAAGTAAAAAGAGCTTGAAGGGCAGATAAAATCAGAGTAAGCCACGGGGTGGAGTACATACCCAGATCCAGGATCCATCCTCAAGGAACCAGTGCCACTCAAGCTTCTCATTAAGACCATGAGGGGACACTGCATCCAGAAAGTACATCCAGCAAACTTCTTTCTGCAGTAAAATCTTTTCTCTGTTGCCTCCTCTTGTATGCGAGGGTACCCTTTCAAGTACTTGATGATGTAACTAGACATATGTCCAGCACATATTGGACATTTGTTATTTGAATAGGAAGTAGATGTCTTACTTTCTCGTTCCTCAAATAAAAAAAAAAAATGGGATTACCATGTCGAAAGATGCAAATGTTTATGAAAATACATCTAAAAATATATGAACATTTGTAAAACCCTACTGCCAAATCTGGCCTTGTATACATTATAAATACATCTATTATACAATGATCAGCTACAACATTAAAACCACTGACAGGTGAAGTGAATAATATTGATTTTATCATTACAATGGCACCTGTGAAGGGGTGAGATATATTAGGTAGCAAGTGAAAAGGCAGTTCTTGTATTTCATGTGTTGGCAGCATCAAAAAATTTTAAGTGAAAAGATCTGAGTGACTTTGAAAATGGCCAAATAGTGATGGCTAGATGACTGGGTAAGTGCTCCTCCAAAATGGAAAGTCTTGTGGGGCTTTCCCGGTATGCAGTGGTTAGTACCTAAAGTGGTGCAAGGAAGGACAACGGTGAACCGGCGTCAAGATCATGGGTGTCCAAGGTTCATTGATGCACATGGTGAGCGAAGGCTAGCCCATCTTGTCTGATCACACAGAAGAGCTACTGTAGCTCACATTGCTGAAAAACTCAATGCATGGCTATGATAGAAAGGTGTCAGAACACACAGTGCATCACAGTTTTCTTTGTATCCCCATACAAAGCAAACTGCATAGCCACAGATTGGTCAGTGCACCCATGAACATCCCTGTCCACCACCAAAGGTACCTTCAATGGTACATGAGCATTAGAACTTGTTAATGGACCAATGGAGGGAGGTTGCCTGGTGTGATGTTTTCTTTTTGATCAGATGGATGGCCGGGTGCATGTGGATCGTTTACCTGGGAAAGATTTGGCAGAAAGATGCACGTTGGGAAGAAGGCAGGCCAACAAAGGCAGTGTTATGCTCTGGGCAAAGTTCTGCTTGGAAATCTTGCGTCCTGGCATTCATGTGGATCGTTTACCTGGGAAAGAAATGGCAGAAAGATGCACTTTGGGAAGAAGGCAGGCCAACAAAGGCAGTGTTATGCTCTGGGCAAAGTTCTGCTTGAAAATCTTGGGTCCTGGCATTAATGATGAATGTTACTTTGACATGTACCACTTTCCAAGAGATTGTTGCAGACCATGTGCACCACTTCATGGCAATGGTGTTCCCTGATAGCAATGACCCTTTTCAGCAGGATAATGCACCTTGCCACACTGCAAAAAAATAGTTCAGATGTGGTTTAAGAAACATGACAAAGAGTTCAAGGTTTTGCTTGGCTTACTAATTCCACAGATCTCAATCCGATTGAGCATTTGTAGGATGCCCTGGATCAAATCCGATCCATGAAGGCCCCATCTCGCAACTTGCAGGACTTAATGGATCGGATTTGATCCAGGGCATCCTACAAATGCTCAATCGGATTGAGATCTGTGGAATTAGTAAGCCAAGCAAAACCTTGAACTCTTTGTCATGTTTCTGACCGTTTGAGCAGACACCTTTGTGGAATCCATTTCTTTTTTGGCAGCACGAGGGGGACCTATATGATATTAGGCAGGTGGTTTTAATGTTGCGACTTATCAGTGTAGCATGCAACATACATTATATACATACATTTGTGTGAACCTCTGCAGGAGCCAGACATGGTATCAAAGTGGAAATTGTTTTTTTAAAAGTTTGCTTTTCCATAGGGGTACATAGCAGTCAGCATGTTTTGACCAATGGGGTAATGTATAGCCTAGATTTGATGACAACCCAAGTTCATTCTAACTTTGCCCATGAACATGAATTATGGAGGCACTACTAAATGCTGTAATGGAGTTATTAAAAACTTGTAAGTCACCTGTGAAGGGTGTCCTGCTAGCCATGTTTGGGATGTATTGTAAGATGCCTGCTCTCAGTGCATTATTGTTGGGGATGTATTGTAAGATGCCTGCTCTCAGTGCATTATCTAAAATTCAGCGTGTTATGATTCCAAGTAGTCTTTTTTTGATTAATGGCTAAAAGAAGCCAGGAGAAAATAGGCTGTGGTCCAGAGGAAAAACATGAATACAATGAAAATAATAGGGCACTCACTATAAAGTTATGAAATGTATGGATGAAAGAGAACAGACCCATTTGACTGCACTGACATTAAATAAGCAAAAAGTATTTTCAGTTGGAGTGTGTCTCACACATAAATTCAAAATTATTTGTTTAATTTCAAAAATTTTACTTTTGGAAAGTCAGATTTAGAGTTGTTTATTATATCACTTTAACAGTTCCAAATATCTATTTTTTTCAATAAAGTGAGCTTGCTAGGACAATTGTGTTTGTAATCCCAATGTTAATTTTATATTCTTAACTTGCACGGTTTGATATCATATGGTCTCACCTACACACCTTAAATCAGATTAACAGTTTGTAAACTGGGTAATTTCAGTTATTTTGACACTTTTAAAAAGTGTGATGTAAGACTGTTAGCAATAATCTGTTTATCATGTTAAATATGTTAACATTTTGTTGTGTTTTGCCACGTATGTAGATAATGATAATCATAATAATCTGTAGGGATTTTTTTTTTTTTTGCAGGTGATGAGTGACAACACAATTGTGGATGACATATATGCAGGCATTGACTATAATCACAGCATGATCAATATGACCATTTAAAAAAAGTCTATATACGGCCAGCTGGTCACCTTCGACCACCTAAAACAGCTGACACATCTCACCCCCACAGATTTCTTTAGGTATCTACAGATAAGGGACTATGTACAACACCCACAAGTACAAAGGGCCGCTAGAGAGCCGCAAACTTTCTTTGAGAGGCTGTGCCTCACTGAAACGGCACAGCAGGGCTTAATAACCAAGATGTACATATGCTCAGAAACGGGGGAATGGGGCACCCTGGCCTATGCAGATGCTTGGGAAAAAGATCTGGGAGAGGTCCTGGAGGGCGTGGAGTGGAGGGAAATATGGGAAGCAAATAGCTCGGTCTCCATATGCGTTTCCCTTCAAGAGCAGTAATTTAAAACAATGTTCAGGTGGTACACCACACCGACCAAACTGCACCGCATGAAACAAATACCGACCGATAACTGTTGGAGGGGTTGCGGCCTTAGTGGCACTTATATCCACATGTGGTGGGAATGCCCTCATGTGCAAATCTTCTGGACAACAGAATTTTCCATAGAGCTCCCAAATTAGAGCCTTGGACATATTTGCTTAACAGATCTTTAGATGACTGGACAAAGAGGGAACAGAAACGGATCCACAAGATTACACTAACCGCAAGGAGAGCTGTAGCACAGACCTGGCTACAAGCAGAAATGCCATCCATACAGAGGGTAATTTCTAACATAAAAGAGGTGCACCTAATGGACAAACTAACTGCCCGGCTAAGAGGATCCATGACTAGCTTCGACAAACTGTGGGACCCATGGCAGAGTAGCGACCTGTCTGACGACACGACACACACCTAACCCTCCTGAGGCTAGGGATGCTTCCCCCCCCCCCCACTTTCTTCTCCTTCTTCTTTCTAGACTTTCACTCTCTTTCACTCACAATATATCGGGGGAACCTGAGAACCGAGCCTTACTCCCTAGCGAACTAGTCATCCCCTGGCAGGCCCAGGGTCACACCACAAGGTTCGAGAGACAGGGTTCCCTCCCGATAAAAACCACTACCTTAAAATATTCGACACGGAAGGACATATGTCAACTACCGTTAGAGTTAGACATAGGGCACGCTAACCACTGTAAGCAAATGTCATTGATGGGACCAGAACTCGCCCTATTAAACCAGGACACAGAGTAACGGGGTTACACAAAGGATGACAAATCCCACAAAGCTATTCTTCTATACACCCCTACTGTGTTACACGAAAATGCAATACCAGGGAAAGGACGATCACACAATACCTATGTTACCCATTTAAAAAAAAACCTTGACACGTAGCTGGAAAAGCTAACTTCTAATGTACAAGTAGTAATACTTACGATTGTTTTTCTTATATGTCTTATTGTGGTTATCAGTATTACGAATCAATGGGCTTTTGCACAAGCCATGTTGGGAATATTATAGTGCTACTTTTGTCAAGCTGAAAAAAACAAAACAAAAAAAACAAAAAAAGTCTATATAAAACTAGAAAGTAAATTAATCTGAACCTTGCTCTACAGAATCTTCCTTTAATAGTGACAGACACTTTAGCTTAAAAGACGCGGTAGTGAGATATAAATGAGGAAAATAAACTAAATGCATACAGCTAAACAAAAATATGATGCAGTAACATATTTCTATGACTGCAATGTGTAACTAAGTCCCTAAA